GCTGAGCACAACCGCGACTTGCAAACATGACCTGCAGGAAGCGAGCGGCCCGCCGAGAGCCGCATGCCATGAATTCGAATTCGAGGACGAAATTGGTAAGTGAGAAATTGATTTTAAGGTTACTTAAGAATTTCTTTTCAATCCTCTTAATTCCATTTTGTGATTTGTCTCGTTTTTCGTGCATTATTCGTTTTTAGTAGCCACCAGAGGAGCCGATCTTCTGCCAGAAGTGTCGAAAGTGGTTTGCGAGTTTCCGTAGGGGTTTTAGTATGGATTCATCAAAGGGGAAGAGAAGATTTAGAAGATAAGAAGAAGATGAAAGAAGTTTTAGCAACTCGGAGAAGGGTTCAGTTGCTTAGAAGTCATTTAAGGTATGTTTTGACAAATCAATTATATTTTGAGTTGAATCACTTTATGAACTAAGATATCATAAATTCTTAAGTCGTTTCAGATTTCTGTTTGTTTATTCGAGATGATGAGTTTGAGGCAAGCATGTGAAAGCTATTTGTAAGACGGCTTCGTAAAATTGAGGTAAATTAATCCTAAACTAAGAATATTAATTTGATTGAAAAAAATTGCTTAAATCTTAAAGTTTAATATTATTAATTTGATTGACAAAAATTTCTTAAATCTTAAAGTTTAATATTATGTTTTATAAGTTATTAAGCTCAACTTAAAGTTATTGCGACGTCTAGCTAGTTACCCAAGGTTAAGAATTTAGTATGACAACTGAGGTGAGTATCTAAATTCTAATCATTTTTCTATTACTTGAACGACACATGTACTTTTGTACACTGTTTCAGTTTGAGATACTGATTATAATATAATGCTGCAATTTCGCAACAAACTACTCAATTAGAGAGCCTTAATTTTAACCACATATTTTATGGTGCTATTCAGTGGCATTATCACAAGGTCAAAGCACATGCATGGTATCCATAACATCCAAATTTTTGATAGTATACGGGTGAAAGTATTCAAATAAATTATACCTAAAATATTAATTTTTATGTAAATCATAATAAAACTTTTCTTTATATTATATGTTTATAAATCATTATTTTGTTATATAGAGCTATATGCTAATTTTTGAAGATGGGGATGTTTCGAAATTAGTTTTCGTTTTGATGAAATTTTCTGATGTTTTAATTTAATTTTAGACACCCACTAATATCTTACTGAGATTTAGGATTTCGGTTTTCCACTTATCTAAACATGCATAGGCTGATGATATACATATATATATATAGATAGATAGACATTGATATTGATATAGATATAAATAAGCATACCCGTCATTCCCTCTTTACATTCACATTATTTTCTCATACTAATTCATGTTTGCACGTAGTTGTGAGCTAAGAAGGATAATATTTTGTTGTAAAATTTAAATTTTGGTATTCCTCTAATAAATTAATTTTAAATCAGAGTTATATGTCTTTATACTTGTATGAGAAAAAACTTTTGTGATTGTTTACAAAAGAGAAAAAACTTTTGTGATTGTTTACAAAAGATAAGTGTTGGGAGTTGAATCATCCATATTGGAAGGTGGGCAAATTCTAATACAGAAAATGAAGGTTTTTTATTCTTTTGTCTCTGTTATTACATGTAAATTTTACTATGGAGGTAAAAATCATTCTTACAACTCACTATTCATGTTTGAATGATTACACATAAATTTTGATGCTGCGAGTTCTCGATTAAATATATTATTATTATACAATTAATTGGTTTGTTGATAACACTTTTGAATAGACATATAGTACTATTAAATTGAATTTTTTTATCTACTGTTATTTAACTTATTTTAAATTGAATAACTTGCTTATTTAAGTGCTAAAAAATGAATTAGTATGGAGCTTAAGATATTTCATATTATGGAGGGACAGATTCACAATTACGTGTTTATGATAGCTGTGCAAATAGGGCAAAAGAGTTTCCAATCAGGGCAAATGATCTTTAATTTAGTTCAATAGAGATAATGCTGAGTTTGACTTGGCCTCCATTGAATTTAATGATGTAATATTTTGGCTGAGTTTATATTTTATATTGTGGTATTACTCATTATATTATTATGGCCAATAAACCTAAATAACTGTATGACATATTCTAAACTAAAATAAAATACAAGACAACAACAAATAAATAAGCAAAAGAAGGATTTGATGCATTTAAAAAGTAATGTAAATGTAATTGGGTTCTTGATTAAACATAATGCATGGATAAAAGAATTATCTGTGCAATTATACTGCCATCATCTTGTGATAGTATTTAATATAAATTTTTATTTAGTCAAAATTTAATTTTCTATGTACTGATCATATGTACCCAATTTATGATTATTTTCATTCAGGGTTAGCTGACAAATTGTTTACAGTTCTTCTCACTAGATTGTTATGATTATTTTTACAGGAAAAAAAATAAATGGCTGAGGATGAGTACAATTAGTTCAATTTTATGATCATATTCTGTTATATAACTTTGTAAAATAGAAATTTTGTTTTGAGACATTATATGAAGTTTATGCCTTTTGTTTGGAAATTTGTTGTTTTTTAGATACTGTGTAGATATATTTAATTGAAATTTTTGGATTACTTTCGTATAATTTAAATGGTTAATTTTTGTTAAATATGCTTTAAATATATTAATGTGTTATGTGTTGCACCTTGAAAGTTATATTTTGGATTAGTACTTCAAAAAATATACAAAAAGTGTACCAAAAACTATTCCTCAGGCATCTAAACAATGTGACTTATTTTCTACTATATAGGAAATAAAATGCAAGTTGTTCATTTACATTTTACATAACAAAGTTGCTATGTAAGGCTGTATGGGCACAACAATGCGCTACTCTATTTTAATCTCTAGCTATAAGTTTAAAAATTACTTGCTTGAATTATAAAGAAATGCAACATTTGGGTCTTCACGTTGTTGTGCCAAGTTCTATTACGTTTGGATTTCCTAAAATTACCGCTTGTATAATTCTGCATTTTCCCTCATCCATCCCTGGCTTATGATATGTTGGAGGGAAAGAATAGTTTGAACCTCCACTTGTGAGCTGTTCCATTATCTGCCTCTATAAGATTTTCCTGCCATAGATTTCCTTAAATTTATTTTCCCTTGATTATATTTTTTTCTAAACAATTAAATAACAATATCAATCTTTTCAATAAATACGAATTTCTAAAATAATATTTTAAAAAATCAATTAGCCTAAAACTGCAATTTAAAAAATTTATCCTTGTTAAAGTTTTTAAGCATACCAAAAAAAAAAAAAAAAAAAAAAAAAAAAATAAAAAAATCTTACCTAAGTCTCTAGCATCCCATTCTCCTATATTGCCTCTTCCTCTATCTCCTTCTCATTCTCCTTATCCTTTTCCTTTTTTATTTTTTATTACTTTTGCCTTAACCTTACTTTCATGCCCCTGCTCTAAATATAACTTCCTTCGGAAAATAATTTCACTAAGAAGTTAATTAATAATTTTTTATATATATTTATTTATATGTTTCTCAATATAACAAAATGATCAAAACAAAATATTAAAATATTATAAAATATTTCTGAGCATTTTTGAGAAGTGGGAAAATTAGATAATTTAAAGATAAATTTTAAATACACCTCTTTGAAATTTAAGGGTCTTACAAATGTATTGTAAATTTTATGATTTCTTTTTTCTTGCTTTGCTCTTCTAAAAAGATATCTCTCCTTCAAAATTGTATAGAAAATAAAGTATCTATCCTCCATTGATATTTAAGGGTCTTACAAATGTATTGTAAATTTTATGATTTATTTTTTCTTGCTTTGCTCTTCTAAAAAGGTATCTCTCCTTCAAAATTTTATAGAAAATAAAGTATCTATCCTCCATTGATATTTGATTCTTTAATTAAGTTTTATTATCTTCAGTTTTATTACATTAAACTTGATTAAAATTTTTGGATTCTTCCTTTGATCTTAGCCATTATGTGTTTATATTTTTAAAAGTTTTAACTATGCCATTTTGTCATTTCTTAATACCTAGCTTATTATGTAATTTGTTAGAGGCTATGGCTTTGGGTTTGCGACTGTCATGTTTTCAAACTTCTAGTTTTCTTTTATATTTTATCTTTAATCATATTTGCTTTTTAACATTTTTTTGGAAAGTTGATCTTTTCATCTTAATGTTTTCTCTACCCAATCACTATACTACCAAGTTTTCTTATGCATGATCTTTTTATAAATTCTCCTTGAATTTTTATCCCAAAGCTTTTATCTAACTAAAATTTTAATTCAAAGTTGTGTTGAAAAATTAAAAATGCCTCCCAAAATTTGTCCTGGTTATCACATATGTGGCATTGAGAAAATTTTTGAGATTATGTAAAAAAGGCTTCTGCATTTTAATCTCCAGGATTCGAAAATGGACATCTTTTCAATGTTATACGTAAAAGTTGTCCCATAAACTAGAGCTTGCCTATACTTTGAGGGATGTAGTGTGAGGCTTGCCTAAAGCCAGTTTTTTTAGAATCTTGCACTTGGGAATTTAACTCTGGCCAGAATATTTTTATTGTTCAACTTGGTGTAAGTTTTCATGTTTGGTAGCTGGCCTTGTCTTACTAAAACATAAACTCTTTCTCCGCCTTATGGCTTCATCTCATTTGAAATCATATCTTGTTTTCACATTTGAGCTTACCTGTTTCATTGGTTTGTGGTTACAATTGTTCTAATATTTCCTGTTGTGTTCTAACGGTTTATTCTACATGTTTTCAATTTTTATCTTTGTTTTATTTATGCTGCTGCCAATTAATCTGTCGACGCCTTTGAGTAACATGGGAATGTATTTATGTATCGTTGTTTATATTATTATGCTCATTTCATAAACTTTTAATTACTGGTTTATCCTATTTCCTATCTTCAATTCAGTAGTTGCCTCGTTGGTTAAGCCTATTTTCTGATTATGTAACAATCATTTCAATAACCAAACATATTATTTATCCTTATTGTTTTTTTCTTCCTACCCGAGCAGGTTTGGTCACTTGGCTTGTTTTGCTTCTGACCTGGACTCTCTTTCTTTAACATTGACCCACAATGAGAAAACAGAGTTGTTGGGGAGATTCGTTGAAATTTCTGAATCTTCCGCCCATGCACCATTAAAAAGGATGGGCCAGGCTATTACAATTTTTAAACTTAAAGAGCTTTTTGGTTTCATGACAATGGTCCCTGTTGAAGGTATTCCTTTACCATCTAGTCAATCATGTTGGAATGCCATCTTATATTTCAATATGAAGTACTTCTCTAAGAAGTTAGTAGATATAGTTTTCCAAATGTCTTAAAACTACCTCTAAATTCTTTTTTACTCTCATGTTTGTTAATATCCTCAACAATATCAAAGCTTGAAAAAGGATCTATACTGCCAATAACATTAATCAAGTCAGTTCGGGAAGATATCCATGTATGAGGGATTTTTTGAGAGAGAAAAAAAGAGTTTTATTTGGTCTCTCTGTTTAGAGAGAGAGTGAAGAAAGTGGCGGGAGAGAAAAATGGAGGATGGATTTTGGCAATGATCAAGTTTATTGAGTGGAGAAGAGGTGGAGCTGCTCAAGGTTGTAATGACGAAGAGAGGAGAAGGAAAGATGAATGTGCAAGAGGGTATTGGGTCGAGTGAACTGTGAATCTTGAGAGGGGTGGATTTGGAGTTTTGGTTTTTGGTTAGAGAAGAGAAGAAAAGGTGGGTCAATGTTTAAGGTGTGTGCATAAGGTAATAGAGAGTTGGATGATGTGATGTGCTCCTTTGACGAGGGATTTGAGCGAGTTTGACTTATTGAGAGAGAGGTAAGATGGATTGGGACATGTTTTGGAGGGCCGAAAAAGAGTGGATATGTGTGGCTTGGAGGAAAGGGTGAGGGTTGTGTATGGGATAAAACTAGAGAATCAGGGCGACCAAATTTTTATGAAACCGATGGAGGAAGAGGAAGAGGAAGAGGAAGCGTGTCAACAAGTTATGTGATAGGATTGGGATTTGACTTTATGTAAGTTAATTTCTTTGTTTTGGTTGGGACAGATGGTACATGTGTTAAATTTTAGAGATTTGAGTAGCGCAATAAGGGAATTTGATTTTCACTAGGAATTTTTTTCTTATAATAATATTATTATAAATAATAATAATAGTAATAATAATAATAATAATGTAAATATTTAAATTATGTTAATTTTTATATTTTAATAATTTAGAGGTTTGTATAATAATCTCTTAATTGTAAATCTTCATTGTTAAGTCAACTTAAATCTCATGTTTTAGCCCTTATCATGGATAATTTGTCTTGAATTTTACTCATGTGGAAACCAAGACAATGTGTTTTTTTAGTTAATTTCAGTGTTTTTAACACATCATCAAAATTTGTTTTTGTGAATAGACACCATTTGAGGAACTTTATGAATAATTGAGTCATTTTGAGTTTGTTTCGCTCGACGTTGCATCCATAATTAACCAATTTGGTTGTCTGATAATATACCGATGTGGAGATTCTTTCTAAGTATTTTTTGTACTCTGGATTTTTTAATATATTCCATTTTGAAAATGGACGATGTTTGGGCAATTTTAGTAGCAGTTGAGGAATTCAAATTACATTCGTATGATGGCATGTTCATTTTGGCTACTTTGTTGGGTGATATTTAGTGATGCAAGAGGTCATTTATCGGTGATTTAACTTTTTAGACGTGTTGGCACAATTCCATTTTACAAAGATGTTGTGTTTGTAAAATCTTGTTCGACATTATATTTGTATTTTTTTTCGATCTTGTTGGGTGAAAACTTAGTTATGCAATGGTCCTTTTTTAGTAAGTTTGCTGCCTTATACAGATCGATGTTGTTTGTTTTCTGGACTTGCGACGTTTGAGTACATCTTAATTGTGATTGAGACAATCCGTGCTTGATTTTTATGATATTACATCAATTGTCCTCTTTATTTGTGATACTTGATCAAATTAATCATGAAGTCTTTTTGTGGTAATTTTAATGTTTCAGACTCATCGACACAGTACATTTTATGAATGGGTGTTGCTATAGGGGTTTTGACTATGATCAATATGGATTCAAATACAATATGTCCGATTTCACATTCATTATATTCCATTTTTTTACCATATGTTCAAGTCAACCTATGAAATAGATATAGACTAATCATCTTCTGAACTTCACTTCTACATGTCAAGTTTTTGAATTTATTTTGGGTGCGGATATTTGCTGTTGGTCTCAAGATTTACTATGCAAGTGTGCTCAGGCTGAAGCGATCAATCTTGCAACATATCTTTACAACTATTTTGCAATGTCTCTTTACAATTATTTTGCCTTTTGGCTAACTTTCCCACAAATGTGGAATCTTTAGTGTCATATCTTCGTGGTGCAAATAACTTGGTAGGTTGGATAGTCGTGCTTACAAGCACTAACATGAATTCCTACCGGTGACAATTCTCTTTATAGCTAGGGCCTCCACATCTATTAAGCTTTCAAAATACTTATAATCTTTTTGTTGAATTTCAATAGTAATAGCTTTAACATGGTTCCTTTTATGTGTTGTTGATATGTATGACATGGCTGCTTCAACAGTTTGAGGCCTGGTGATATTGTTAATCTTAGTAGTGGTCTTAATATTAATAATGAGAATCTCTAAACCATTGGGCTGGATAGTGGCCCATGCATTGGGAGATTCCTTTGGGACTATTATTGCCTTTTGAGAATAGGACATTGCTTTAAAATGTTGACTAAGTTGGCAATTTTTAGTAGAACATTTTCATTTGGAATCATTCCTTGACATGTTTCATCAAAGATGAATTCTTGGAGGCAAACCTATTTTCAAGCTAAGTTTTTTTGTGAAGCCTTGTACTTCAAACTTTTTTCACTTCCACTGGGATCTTTGGTGGTGGATATTTGAGTTTGAAAACTAAGTGTCACATCTTGATGCTGACCTTGAAATGCTTACCTGAGCTTACTTTGGTTTATAGTATTAGATAGCTTTTTTTCATGAAGCATCAAGCTTTTACTTATTTAACTTCTTTTTGGCACCATTTGGCGGCTCTTTGATATGAGACCCAGTTGTCATGTCCTGATGTTCATCTTATAAAAATTTTTCAAGTTTTTGGGCAATTTTTATATATATTTTATTTTTTTGTAACTATCAATATAACCGTTTATATGAGTTACCAAAGATGGAAACAGAAATATTTTCTAGTACAGTTGGCAAAAATATATAGGATTTGAAAATTAATTTTTTTTTATTATTATACACTACTAAAAAATTTCACCCTCATTTTTGTGAGAATTTTATCTAATTTGATAATTTTCATAGTTGCGAGTGATTTGGCAGTGAAGGCTAGAACTGACCACGAGAAGGATTTGTAGCCACTCCACTTGGAAACACGAAGGGTCCACCAGCCTCCTTACTGTTGGGAGTTGCCACCCAAAAGGAGTGGGCAATCTTTTGTCACCTAGTAGTATTTATATACTATTTTGTGTATTTTGGGTCAGCTTTTTTCCTTCAAATTCCTGTTAGGACAACCACCAGCTTACAGGGTTCCCTTCAAGGTTATATTCGAAGACAAGAAGGTGCTCCTGCTGCAACTCGTATAAGATGTTGTTTATGTGTCCCAACCTACTTCTTGCTTCCCCATTCAACCACAAGTTTCCCCCTCTAGCCGCAAACCATCCCATCCAACAACAAGTTTCTCCATCTAGCCGCAACATGCTCCCAGTCTTCCGTCTTCTAGCCGGCCACAAGCTACTCTTTCCTTCCAACCAACTGCTACCCAATCTTTGTTTTCCCCTTCTAGTAAACACCCTCTTACATCCCGTTGTCCTCAACCTATAGGCCCAACTCACTGTTCCTTCTGTGATTGTTTCTTCACCACTACTCTTACCACCCTTCCAGCTAACAGTCCACCCTCACCATCTTCAAAATGAAACCCTTGTCGTATTTGTGTTGTGTTTTCTTATTATATTTTCTTTTTGTTGTGATCTTGTTTATACTTATTTGCATCGAATTATAATATTTGTTTTTTTTTCATTGCAGTATGGGTTAGCTCCGATATCATTTGGTATCAGAGCTAGCCTAACACTAGACTCATTCTAGAGTATTTGGTATACGCTATATCCAAACCTATCTTCACTTGCCAAAAATTTTCTTTTCCCACCTCTCACTTTCTTCCGACTATCATCACGAAAACCCTAACCATGTACCCGAGTAGGCAATAGTTTGAACCTGAGTAGGATGGTGGATCCTGAGTAAGATATTATTCTGGGTGACATACAATGAATACCCCTTCAAGTGCTATAGTTGCGCAAGGCCATTGAGGAAAGTACCATTGGTGAGGTCATTGACCGTAATAGTGAGACTGGGGAGGAGAGCCTGAAGAACACTGAACCCCTTTTTGTAAGGATGACTTCAATGAAGAGGAGAATCGACCAGAGCATTTCAGAATTCAGTAAGAGGTCAAGAATGGAAGTGCTTGCTGGAGGGCACCAAAATCTGGGAGTTAAAGTAGACCTTTTAAATTCTGATGGGAGGATGAATCCAGATGATTTCCTCGAATGGATGCAAATGATTGAGCGGATATTTGAGTACAAGGACATTCTCAATGATAGAACAGTGAAGCTAGTCGCCATCAAGCTGATGTAGTATGCTTTCCTGTAGTGGGAGAACTTGGAAAGGGAGGGATAGAGGGAAGGGTGAGACAAAATCACTTCTTGAAAGAAGATGAAGAAGGCGCTGCTGCGATAATATCTACCCTCTCAATACCACTAGGATATTCTTAAGAAACTCTACTACCAACAATAGGAGCTATTAGTGGAGGAGTACACAACATAGTTAATGCAACTCAAATTGAAATGTGAGCTGAATGAGACATAGGATATTCCATAGTTCAATATTTAGGGGGTTTAAAGCCCGGAATTAATAATGTGGTCCAACAGCAAACCTACTGGACATTTAGAGACGTGCAGACCTTAATGTTGAAAGTAAAGAGGTAACAGAGGCAACAGAGGTACCCGTATCACTTCAAACAATCCCTTACAGTTGGAGTCCCCAACAAGAGTACGCCTGGACGAGTGGGAAGGATTGGACAGAGAATTGACAAGACAGGTCAAAGTGAGAAGAAGTTGGAGAAGACCAGTGCACTTGGTATGGTTCCAACACAAAAATTGATGCCACAAATTTGGCCATATCTTCTCGGGCTAC